AGCCTGGTTTAACCCTCTCCAGGATGAATCTGTTTGTTTTCTTGGCATTCCATGATACATTCAATACTCTTCTCCAGCACCACAGCTCAAGGGCATCAATTCTCCATCCTCCGTAGTCATTGTCCAACTCTCTGATGCATAACAAGTGATTGCAAAAACCATGGCCTGTATCAGGCGGACCTTAGTTCTGTAATATAGATTGAAAAATAATGTAAAAAGGACACATGGATGACACACTCCTTTATTGATTCTGAACCATACAGTGGTTCCTTGCTCTCTTTCTAGGACTACTTCCTGGTCTAGGTATAGCTTTTTCTTGAGTACAATCAGGTGTTCTGGGATTCCCATTTTTCTCAAAGTTAGCCACAGTTTGCTGTGATACTCCACATAGGCTTTTACATAGTCAATAAAACACAAATAGACATTCTTCTGGTACTCACTGCTTTCAGCCAAGATCCATCTGACATTGTTAATGCTATTATTTTTTGTTTGTTTGGTTTTTAATTAATTTTATTTTTTTCATTATTTTCTTTACAAAATTGTAATACAAATTCTTTTCGTTTCCCTCACCCCCACCCATCAGATTGTACAACCCAATGTTTAATTCCCTTTCCCCCCTGTACATCTACATTCCTCTGCCTCTAGCCTCTCCCTCCCCTCAAGGACTCTTATACTCATTTTACAATAATGGTCTTATATAATATTTATCCTTATGGGACTGGGTTAGTTCACTCAGCATAATGCTCTCCAGTCCCTCCCAAGTTAGGTAATAATTTATAAAGTTATTGCTCCTGCGTGCCATAATTTCTCAATTCATTCATTTGTGGTTGGACATTTGGGCTGCTCCATGTTCTTGTGATGGTGAATAATGCTGCTATGAATATTGAGCACCAGCTGAGGTTTGTACACCAATGTTCATGGCAATGGTATTCTTAGAGTCATGGCCTCTTCTAAAGTCATCTTATATCCCTGGCAGTCCTCTGATATGTACTGCTCCAGTTGTTTGGGGTTTTTCTAAAACAATAATCTTCAGCAAGATTTTGCTTTTGTGTGATATTGTTTGATAATTTCCATTCCCTGTTAGATCATCTTTTTGGGGGGAATGGAAATAAATGTGGATTTCTTCCAGTCAGTTGGCCACGTAGTTGTCTTCCAGATTTCTTGGCACAACCTGATGAGGATGTCCAGGGCTACATCTGTTTGTTGAAATATGTCAACTGGTATTCCCTTAATAGAAAGGACCTATTTTGTGCCTGGGTGAAATACTCCTCAGGACTCCCACCTCCCCAGCCCTTTTCTGATCTCATCCTCTGGCTCACTAATGTGCTCTTCATAACAGGAGTATTGTAGCTAATAGACAGAAATTATTTTTATGGGAGCTTCCATTCACTAGTGCTAAATGATAATCTGAGATCAAAGCCCTTAGCCATAATAATGTCATCAAGACCCTTTGTCCCAATAGTCTTACCCATGTAGTCACGTGTCTTTTGCTCTAACAGTGCTCTCTACCTTCTTTAACATAAATGCAGGTCTTTACTCAAACCCACATAAAGCTTTTCAATGTTTTGGTCAATATTCACTTAATATTTAAAGTTTACAGTACACACTTGCATGTATTTGAATGCATCACAACAGTAAGGTCAAGTATTATTATGTTCTGTTATAGATCAGAAGATTGAGAACCAAGGGATGTTATGCACGCTTTTCAAGGTTGCACATCTCATAAGTGGCCAAGCCAATATTCAAACTCAGGTACAACAGCATCTGAAGTCTGTTTTCTTTGCAGAACACAATGCTTTTCACAAATAACTCTACCTAATCCCCATAGGAAAGGCTAGAAAAGCATAGAAGTGGTTGGCTACCTTTTTTCAAGGTATGAAAGTCACCTCAAAGAGGCTAGAAGACATGTTGAAGGACACTGTCTGGAAAGAGATTGGTGCTGTCATCAGAATCCAGATCTCCTGATGCCTAGTGCAGAGGACACTGTCTCCCAGACCATATTGCCATTCCCATCAGACCATGTAATTTCTTTTTCTGATGAGAACACACAAAGATCACAATCTGTCTACCTGAAATCTCCCTCTGTTATAAGATGAGATAAAAAAAAAATTCCCCAAAGGAACCAACTTGAATCACCCTTATATGTGTTGTATTGGCCTCCAGCATCCTTTTCTCAACCCCTGAATGGAAGAACAAGGCAGACTGACTCTAAGAACATCAAGTTTTGCTAGTTCATATGCAATCTTAAGAAAAGTCTATTAACCTTAACTCAATCTAGTCACTAGCTACTGTTTTCTACTACCATTCCCATCCAAGTAAATACCAAGTCTCCTCAATACCAAATTCTCAATAATCCACTGGAATCCTTGCATCGTGAAAATGGTTAGGATCCACGGCTAGAGGTCTGGGTCTACCTAAGTTACCTTAGGAAAAAAAGTCTGGTAATTTATTTATAAACATTTTTAGCCATTGAGAACCGTACAAATGTTTTATTCTGATAGACAAAGAACTTCCATGAGCGGGACTATGGTTATTATTCTTCCAGCAATTTTGAATCATATCCCCCTTGTATTGTCATAGTCTTACTCCTGACTTTGGTTTTGCCTCTTCTAGTCTATTCTTCTCATCACATGAATTGTAATTTTCAAATCTTATTAAAAATAGCAGAATATCTCTTCATTACCTTTATATTTAAGTTTAAATTTCTTACAGACTATCAGTTCAGCCTATTCCTGCATCTAGTCCTTCAGCCATATTCCATCACCATAGCTTCAGCTTCCTCCTTCCCCTCTGTGTCTGCAATGCCCTCCCTAAAGAAAATTCACCCCAACAAAATATGGTGAATGCTTACTTAATTTTAAAAACCTCAGTCTGGATGTCACTCCCACTGTAAAGTTTTTTATAATATCCTAACATTAGATTTTGGCATAAGCAGCCAGGAAATTAAAAGGAGCATTGCCATGGGAAAGTCTGCTGTTAGGGACCTCTCCAAAGTACTGAAGAGCAATGGTGTCTCTCTGGAGACTAAGGTGCGTCTGATACAGGCCATGGTCTTCACAATCACTTGTTATGCATCAGAGAGTTGGACAATGACCAAGGAGGATAGAAGGAGAATTGATGCCTTTGAGCTGTGGTGCTGGAGAAGAGTATTGAGAATACCATGGACTGCTAGGAAAACAAACAGATTTGTCCTGGAAAGGGTTAAACCAGGTGGCTCCTTGGAGGCAAGGATTCTGAGGCTCCGTCTAACATACTTTGGACATGTGTGAGGAGAGACTGGTCCTTGGAGAAGGACATCATGCTTGGGAGGGTGGAGGGACAGCACAGGAGGGGAAGGCCCTCTGTGAGGTGGATTGATTCAGTGACTGGGATAATCGGGATGGGACTGTCAGAGCCGGTGCGATTGGCACAGGACAGAGCAGAGTTTAGGGCTGTTGTACATAGGGTCGCTATGAGTCACAAGCGACTCGACGGCACATAACAACAAACAACCTTAGTTCCTGCCTGAAGAATTGATTTCTATTTTCAATATGTTCACAAATAAAACCCAGAACCTAGATTTTTACCTGACATAAAGGAAGGAAGGAAGGAAGGAAGGAAGGAAGGAAGGAAGGAAGGAAGGAAGGAAGGAAGGAAGGAATTAGCTGTATTACCCAGATCGAAAGAGTTGTGCTATCAACCCAAAGGTGGGCAGTTCTAATCCACTAGCTCCTCCAAGGGAGGAAGATAATCAATCTCCTCATCTGTGATTTACAAACTCTGAAAATCCACTGGGGATCAGTTATGAGTATGTTCCAAATCTACAGCAATGGTAGAGAGCAATACACAGGTATGTTCTATTGTTTGAGTCAATCCTCCATGGTCCTCTTCTCCTGTGCTGTCCCTCCACCCTTCCAAGCATGATGTCCTTCTCCAAGGACTGGTCCCTCCTGGCAAGCTGCTCAAAGTATACATACATAGAGATAAAATTCTTTTATTCTTTTTCTTTGTTGACAATTTTTTATCTGAGAGAAGCAAGAGTTAGGAAATAAAAAATGGGTTAAAAAACAAAAGATGAAGGAATGCAAAATCTGTCCCAATCAAGAACAATTTACATAAAGCAGATGGGACACTAATCTCATGACCTGGAAATGAGAATTACTAAATAATCTCTAAAACCTCAAGCAAGCCAGAAATGTATATTCAATATCATCATGACAAGCTTGTGAGTTTTCAGAGAAATTTGGGGAAAGAACTAAGAGGAAAAAACCATTTTTCAAAGAAAATATAAAGGCAGAGAGAAGGATACACAGAGGATGGGAGGAGAGAGAGAGGAAAGAAGAAGAGGAGGCAAAAAGGGGAGGAGAGAAAAATAAGATGGACGAATAGAGGAGAAAAGGGAATAAACTGTGGAGAAGTAGGGATAGAAAGAGACAGTACAGGTGAGGAAGAGAGAGAGGAAAGGGAGAGGAGGGGACTGGAGGGGAAATGAGGAGAAGGAGGGAGGGAGGGAGGGAGGGAGAGAGAGAGGAGAAGAATAAAAGGGAAAAATAATAGAAATAAAGAAAATGAGAGTGAGTGCACTTGAAGACAGAAGAGGAAAAGGAAAAAAAATATAGTTTCATATTTATAAGGCTAAAAAAGATGAATCATCAACCCTTCATTAGCAATTTTAAGGCTAAACAAGTACCCTGTGCACCCGCATACCTTATATTGTGGAATAGTCCCTTCCTGTGAGAGAAGGGAGGAGAGGGAAAGATGGAAACAGCCTGAGAGAGGAGGTACCTGAGAAAACTGGGGACCTGATGGTAACAGTAGTAGTATATACGAAAGAGGATGAGAGTGAATGTCAAGATGAAAGACAAGAGCAGAGACGATAATCCACAGGTAGCCCCAGCAGATCCAGACGTCTCCATCTGTACCTCAGAGTCTCAGTCCTTACCTGAATTGGGAACCAGAGTGCTGTCCACTCTAATAAATTCTGTCAAACCTGCTTGCTGGGTAGGAACTGCCAAGGATACAGGCTTCTTCAGTGTAGGGCACAGCAGCTGTGGTGCCTCCAATGATATAGCTGTAGAAAGAGACCTCAAGGGTGTAGCAGTAGGAAGTGTGGTCCAGAAGGCCACCAAGGAAACGACGACCTGTTCCTGCTTTCACAGCATCCCGATTAAAGGATGTGCTGGACTGGAAAAGACAGAAAAGAAGGAAAACATCAGATCAGGGCACTGGTCAGATACTGAATTTTTAGCAAATTTTGTAACATCTCTGTGTGTTAGGTTCCTCATCTGAAATGTGGGATATTAACCTCATTATCACTGGATTACTGTGTTGTTGTTGTTGTGAGCTGTCATGTTGGAACAGACCCATGCTGTCCAGTAAGCTTTCAGAGGCCGTAAATTGCATAGGAGGAGCTTGCCCATTCTTCTCCCATGGAACCCTGGTGGATTTGAACTGTGCCTCTGAGATTGCAGCACAGCTTCTTACCATCATATCACCAGAGTAGATACCGATTAAATGAACATAATTCAATTAAGTATCAACAAAGGCTTTTGTCTTCAAAATAACTGTCACTCAACAAATATTTGAGAAGTTTGGTTTTGAATAGGGACAGATAGGGGAAAAGAAATAACTATCTCATCATGTTAGTTAGGACTAAGATTTCTTAACTCCTCTCAATATTATAATGCTAGGCTTCAAAATAATCCCTTGAAGTTGTTGTTATGTGTTCTTGAATCTAGTAGGACTCATAGCAACTCTATGAACAATAGGTAAAACTTCAGCCTATTCTGTGAAATCCTCATGATCTCTGATATGCTTGAATCCACTGTTATTATCACTTGGTCATTACATGTTTTTGAGGTCTTTTTCTCTTTCTCTGACCTCTCTATCCTTTCCAGAATAATGTCTTTCTCCAAGGGCCTACTTTTCCTGACAAAATTCCCAAAGTAGATGATATGAAGTATCACAATCTTTGTCTCTAAGGAACAGTCTGGTTGCTCTTCATAAAAGATAGACTTATTTGTTCCTTTAAAAGTCCATGATATATGGACTGACATCAGGGTTGGGGTAAGACTGAGAAAAACTGGATAAATTATGTATACTGCATTGAAACAGATGAGGGAGAGAACAGTTTAAAAGTGATATATGACAGGGTATTATGGTTATCACAAGAGTCCAGAATTAAGGTTGCATAGTGGAGCGTACTCGGTGCAGTGGGAAGGGGGGTGCAGGGGGATTGTATACCAATAAAAGAATTTTCCTTTTACTTTTCAAAGAGAGGAGTGAATGGGGGGGGAGTGGTGGGCAGGGAGAAAAGTGCAACAATGAATGAATGGAAATCCCAAATCTCTGTAAATGTTCATTAAAATTAATGAAATAAAATTTTTTAAAAAGTCCATTAATATTTTTAGTAACTATGATTCAGTGACTGGGTAATTGGGGAGGTGTGTCAGAGACAGTGCGATTGGCACAAGATAGAGCAGGGTTTAGGGCTGTTGTACACAGGGTCGCTATGAGTCGCAAGCGACTCAATGGCACATAATGACAACATTCACCAGCTCGTCATTTAAAAGGCATCTATTTTTCTTTGGTCATCCTTATTCATTGTCCAACTTTCATATGCATGAGAAGCAATTGGAAATTGAAAAGATCATGGCTTGGATCAGGCACATCGTAGTCTTTAAGCTGACACCATTGCTCTTTAGTATTTTGGAAAGGTCACTGGCAGCAGATTTTCCCAATACAATGCATCTTTTGATTTGAGGAAGCAGCATATGATCAAGAACCAATGGTAATGAGGGAGTAAATTCAAGCTGCCCTAAAGGCATCGCAAAAATAATAAGGCCCCAGAAATTGATGAGATATCAGTTGACATGTTTGAACAAGCAGATATAACCTTGAATATGCTCACTAGACGATGTCAAGGAATTTAGAGGCCAGCTACCTGGCCAGCTGACTGGAAGAGACCCATATTTGTTTCAATTTCAAAGAAGGATGATCCAATAGACAGTGGAAATTATCAAACAACCTCATTAAAATCACATGCAAATGAAATCTTATTGAAAGGTAGTTAAAAAGGGTTGAAACAGAACATCAAGGGGGAACCTCACAGTCTATGGAACAAGGGATATCATCAGATGGATCTTGGTTGAAAGCAGAGGATAGCAGAAAGATGTTTATGTTTGGCGTTTCCCCCCATTCCCAATTATAACAGCCATCTTTATTTGTAAAAATCCAGCTATAAAACGTAGTCTTTCAGTCTTCCCAGGTTTTCCTTTTTTAACAAAACCGAAAAAGCACATAAAAACCTTCCCCACTGTAATATCCATAGACAGATGATTTTCAGGCAGTCCTCTCCTGCTTCATTCTGGGATGTCTCGCTTGCCCCACATGCTTCTGGGATGTCCTAACAGGGTAGAGTTTTGAATTCCAAGGCTGAATTACACAAAGCGGTGGGTGGGTGGCGGATGCAGAGTGTGGCATGACGCTTCACAGAGTGCAGGATGAGGGACTAGTAGTAGGCTTCCTTCTCTGTTCAGCTGCCAGGGCTTCGCCCGATGATGAGATTTATGATTTTATCGTAAATGAAGAAGAGAAGTAAGGGAAGGCACAGAACCACCAGGTAGTTTTGAGGGAGTACATCCTCAGGGCTGCCCCCATGCCAGGGCAGTAGGAAAGAAAAGCAGCAAGGGCCGTCTCCTCAAAGAGGTTAAATATTAAGATCTTGTTTTTCACCCCCTGCTGGAAGACAGAATTCCTTCTGGTCTTGCAGATGATCAAGTCAGCCCACTGTACCACCATAATGCTGACAAAGAAGGCAGTGTGGCAGGTGAATTCCATGATTTTTCTCTGCTCATAAGTCCACGGCTGCCCATAGCTGTCTTCCACAGAGTTGATGTAGCGGTCATACCAGTCCACTCGGATGCCCAGGAGGTGAGGAGGGAGGAAGCCATTCTCAGCCAGAATCACAAAGTAAGTGAAGAAGCCTCCCAGGGCCTGGATTATACCCATCTGATAGGTCATACTGATGAGCCTCTCACCACCAGTTTGCCCATGTGGGGATTTCTAGGCTGCCTCTTTGTGATATCATGCTCAGCTTGCATGTATACTAGAGAGATGGTGGGAACCATGTCAGTGCCCAAATCAATGCAGAGGATGGTGAGGGTCCACAGTGGGAGCGGAATGTTTGCCATAATAAATATCAGGAAGGGGGTGATCTCTGGACTGTTATTGGTTAGGGAATAAGCAATGGATTTCTTCAAGTTATCAAAGATCAGACAACCTTCCTCAACTCCCGTCACAATTGAGGCAAAGTTGTCATCCAAAACAATCATGTCAGCAGCTTGTTTAGACACATCTGAGCCAGCAAGTCCCACAGCAACCCCAATGTCTGCCTTCTTCAAAGCCAGAGTCATTCACACCATCACCAGTCACAGCCACATGAGGACTCTGTCACTGGCAGCCCTCCCCAATGATGAGCTTCTGCTGAGGGGAGGTTCTGGCAACACAATCTTAGTGTGGTACTTCAGAATGTCATCCAGCTACTCAGAGTTCACGTCCTTCAGGTCACTTCCATGGACCACAGAGGCCTTGGCATCTCTGCGGTTCACCTGGCTCACTGGGATGCTGAGGGAGGCAGCAACGTCTTCCACAGCCTCGTTGCCCTCTGAGATGATGCCCACACCTTTAGCAATGGCTTTTGTGTGATTGGGTGGTCTCCTGTAACCATGATGACCTTAATTCCAGTGCTTCAGCATTTGCCCACAGCATCGAGAACAGCAACACAAGCAGGGTCAATCATGGAGATGAGGCCGACAAAGCAGAGTTTCTCCACAGGGAAATTGACATCATCAGTGTCTACATGGAACACTTCAGGAAACTGTTCATTGGGCAGAAGAATTTGGCAGAAACTTAGCACTCACTCTCTGAGACCTCCAGCCTCCAAGTAGGCATTCTGAAAGGCGTCCTCCAGTTCCTCATTCAGGGGTTTCTCCTTGCCATGGAGCCCAAGATCCTCTCTGGAGCTCCCTTCATGACTGGTAGGTGCTGGGGCTCAGGTGTGTTGGGGTTCTTATGAATAGACAACTTGAACTTGTTGGTAGAGTTGAAGGGTATCTCCACGATCTTGCATATTGATCCCTCATCTCCTTCACTAAACCACAGCACACCTCAATGCAATTCAGGAGGGCTGACTCAGGCATCTTCTGCAACTGCCCACTTGGAAATAGGTAGAGTTTCCTGGTTGGCCTGGAACACTGCCCTGTTACAAAGACCTGCAGTCTGGACAGAGCAATCCAGGTCGCTGACATCTTATCAAATAAGACACCCCTCTGGTTCTCTGTAGGATCAGCTTCATGGATTTGATTGTCAAATGACATGTGAGCAACTGTCATCTGGTTCTGAGTCAAGGTTCCAGTTTTTTCAGAACAGATGGTAGATGTGGACCCCAAGGTCTCCTCAGCTTCCAAGTTCTTCATCAGGCAGTTTTTCCTTGACATGCATTTGGCAGTAGGCATCAGACATACCATCACAGTGGCCAGCAAGCCTTCTGCTACATTAGCTACAATGATGTCGATGAGGAAAATCACAGCCTCAAGCCAGGTGTACTCCAGAATAAGAGACAGGATGAAGAAAGACACGCCGAGGAACAGTCACACCTGTGATGATGTGGATTAAATGCTCAACTTCTGCAGCAGTAAGAGTCTGACCCCCTTGTAGTCCAGAAGCAAGTGTGGCAGTTTGTCTCATCAGAGTGCGATCCCCAGTGTATACAACAATGCGACGTGCAAAGCCTTCAACATCATTGACTGAAAAAATGGCAATGTTCCTTGTCTCCAGAGGATTCGCATCTGTGAAATCTGGAGACCTGGTCTGAGGTTCTGATTCTCCAAGGAGTTATCCACCTTGAAGCCGTTTACAAAAATGATTATCAAGCCTACAGGGATTCAGTCTCCACTTTTCAATTCCACCAGATCCCCCACAACAGCTTCTTCTGCACTGATGCTCTTTTTCTTTTTGGAATCACAAAAGCTCGCTAAGGAACCATGTTTTTGAGGGATTCCATGATCTTTGAACTTTTAGCTTCACGATAGTAGGAGAAACAACTCGTGATGATAACAACAGCTGACAGCACCACACCAAGATAGAGATTATCATTACTCGGAGACTCTTCTGAGGTAGCTACAATGTCATAAGCCAAGCAACAAAGAACTGCTCCAACCCACAGCAACACTGAGAACCCCCAAACAGCTGTCAACAGAATTTGATCCATTCAAGAGTAGTGGGAGGAGGGGTAAAGGCATCGGGACTGTCTAAGGCCAGGATTTCTGCATCTTGAGCAGGTGTTAAACCCCTGCTCAAGTCCGTTCCACATTTGAGATGAAGTTCATCAAGGCTAAGTTTATGGTCATTCATAGATACTTCTTTCTTTAGCTCGTCCATGTCCCTCTCTTTCTTGGCCTTCTTTTTGTCTCCATGTTCTGTTAAGGACCTCTCTAAAGGGCCAAAGAGCAATGATGTCTGTTTAAAGACTCATGTGCATGTGCAACAAAGAATGAATGAAAAGCCAACTTTTCTACTAACTTGAATTGAAATCACAATTAAGAAAAGACTAGGGGAGCTCTGGTGGCCTATGGCAAGAAGCAGCAATCCCAGAGGTGCACGGTTCAAATCCACCAGATGCTCTGCTGGAGAAGGAGGAACAATCTCTTCCTGTGCCAGTCAGATCTGATTTGATGGTACAGACACAAAAAATAATAAAACAAAATAAATTTTAAAAAAGACTAATGTGTATCTGATCCATGGTAATTTAAATTACTGCCTATTGATAGGATACAGAAGAAAAATTGTTGCCTTATGTTGCAGTATGGAAAAGGAGTACTGAATATCACACAGACCGCCAAAAGAACAGCAAGTCTGTCTTGGAGGAAGGGCCATCAGGGTGTCAAATACATGTTGTCAGGAGGGGCTAGTCTTTGGAAAAGGGCACAATACTGGGAAAGACAGAGGGTAAAAGAAAGAGAGAAACAACTCCAAGAAGGCTGATTGACACAGAGTCTGAAACAATGGAGTCAAGCATATCAGAGGTGGTAAAGATGGTACCTGACAGGCCAAGGTTCAGGTCTGCTGTTGAGAGGGTCAGTATGAATCCTAGACAACATGATGGCAAATAACAACAACAGCAACAACGTCTAATTCAGCAGGAGATAGAAGAGAGGTGGGGAGAAGCTGATTAAAGGGATGGCGAGAGGACAGAGAACAGTAAAAGAAGAACCAAAAAAACATATGTGTATGCTTTGGTATTTAGCAAAAGCTCTCAAACTCATTTCTTTTGAGTCTGAACCAACTCATAAGTGACCTTGCAGTGAGTTTTCAGAGGCTATAAATCACATGCTAAGAGATTGCCTATCTTTTTGCCTCAGAGCAGCTGGTGATTTCAAATTGCTTACTTTTGGGGTGTCAATGCAATATCTTATCTTCCAGGCCAAAGGTAAGAAAATAATAGAATTTAAAAACACAAAGGATTTTTAATCCATGAAGTGAAAGTTATTGTTTCCTTTTTAGGATGGGCATTGTTTATCAGAGAAGAGAGACAGAAACCAGACATGTTTGGATGGCCATGACCTCAGTCCTGAGCTCCTAAGAAAAATTCAATGAGGAACATCATTAAATAATAACAGAAATGAGATTCCTGGACTATGTGCACTTTTTGTAGGCTGTGAGAACCACCTCGCCACTATAAGACTTTCTGAGGTCTATGTCCCAGTTTTCCAGGGTACCTGAACTGAGGGGACCACAGTCTAACCTCATGGTTTCACAAAAATGTATGGCTGTCCATCTTGCAGAGATTTCTAAAGAATAGGCCTAACTATTTTGGTCCAAATGAAGCGGCAAATGGTGAGGCCTCCTGCTTTAATTCTACCAAATTCTGGGTGACCTTGCACCAAGCACTCAGTTTCTTGGCGTCACAGGTATCTCTTGTGACTGACGAGGAGGCTAGGTTACATGACTTTCCAGTCCCTTTTCAGGCTTGACATTGAAAAGTTCCAGGACTTAAAGCACATCTTATACCACGTGGAGAAATTCATCATCTTCACTAATGTCCAAGCCTGAAGCAATGGACAGGCGAGTTTTCAGCTCATCAACTTCAAAAATTGCTATGACCTTTGTGGGCCACTTCCCCTCTGGCCACATGGAAGTAACAAGCCTATGTTTAGTATCAACAAAAGAAATTGAGCAAAAAAAGTCTCATATCCTCATATGACATGCTGATTTCCTTCTTCTCTTTTGGCCCCGATTCATTGTTACTTTTTGCCACCAATACTTCTAACTCCTCAGGCCAGGGAAAGGTTCAATTCTCTCTTCATAAGATCTCTATCAGTGGTGGTCAACTCGAGGGAACCTAACACCACCACCCACCTTTCAGTCTCTTTTCTCATCATAAGGAGTGGGTTGTTCTTGGTAGGTGCCTTTGAGTCGAGTATGACTCACACTGACCCTATTATCAGCCAGACTGAACCCTGCCCTATCCTGTGCCATCCTCATCATCTCTGACACACTAGAGTTAATTTTGAAGTCGCGCTATCAATCCATCTCTTCATGGATCTTCCTCTCCTTTGTTGACCCTCCAACTTTCCAAGCCTGAGGTCCTTTCCATGGACTAGACTCACCTAGCTCCATGCCCAAAGTATGAAGAGTGTGTAGTAACAGCAGTAACTTCTACAGTTTGTTGAGCTCTTTACTGCTTGCAAAGTACTTTCATAATTGTTGTTTCATTGTCTTCCCAGGAAGCAGGGTTAAAAAAAAAAATCACACCCAGTTTATTGACAAAGAAATGGAAACTGAGTAAGTGTTAGGGAGGAAAATAATGGTGATTATGTGACCCCCTTCATGAGACATGTAAATTGTTGGTAGGTGCCATTGAATTGGCCACTACTCAGTGTGGCCCTGTGAAAACAGATCTGAACCTTGCCCTATACTTCACCATCTTCATCAACTCTGTGATAGTCACTATATCCATCTATCCTGTTGAGGGTATTCCTTTCTTTCTCTGACCCTCTATCTTTCCCAGAATGATGCCCTTTTCAAAGGCCTGGCCCCTTCTGGCAACACACTCCAAGTATGTGGGACAGAGCTTCATCATGATTGCCTCTAAGAAGCAGCTCAGAGTGAAAGAACTGATCTAGGTGAAATCAGACCCCGGGGAATTGTCTGGCAGGTGGAAAGTGCCCAGTAAGCTTCTTTGCTTTTTAATGCTGGGCTCAGATCAACTATACAGATGCCCGATTATCAGGAAGAGCAAATCTACCGTTTGAAGACTCTCACTTGTGCTGAGCTGCATAAGGGCATGGACACTGCTTGTTTATCTCTATGGTTTGTTGTTGTTGTTTTAGTTCTATGTTTATCACCCAAAACACACCTTGTACAGAGTGACTGTTTTGAACCCAGAGAGGAGAAAGAGAGGGAGGCAGTAGGAAGGTGAGTGATAGGGTTTCTATGTGGGGGGATGTGGCTAGAATGTGAGGAACGGGAGCTGAGGCTGGCCAAGAACTCTTAACTCACGTAGGAGAAGTCTTCAGCATTCTGACAGAGGAGCTTGGGGAAAATGGCCTGTCTCTGAAACCGTTCCTCATCCTCAAAGATGTTGCCATACATGAAGCCATTCATCATCGTGGAGTGCGCATGGATATCAATATAAAACTCCAGGCTTATTTTCTGTTGAGAGAGAAAAAAAAAAACAAATGAGAAGTTCACAGTCACAAAGCTAGAGCCTGTCAGAGAAGGAAAATATTTTCCTTTTCAAGAAAACACAAGTAGGTAATAGTAAGACTACTTCCTGTCAAAGATGGAAACATGTGAGAAAAGAAAAAATAATAAAGCAATTGCATTTAGTTCCAGTTCTTACAGATTCAACTGTATTGGCTTAGTAGATAGATAGATAGATAGATAGATAGATAGATAGATAGATAGATAGATAGATAGATAGATAGATATTGATAGATACATATTGTTGTTATGTGCCATTGAGTCACCTGCAACTCACAGCAACATTATGTACAACAGCTCTAAAGTCTGCCCTGCCCTGAGCCAGTCTCACTGGATCAGGCACACCTTAGTATCTAGACTGACATTGTTGCTTCTCGGTACTCTGGAAACATCCTTGGCAGCAGATCTACCTAATGCAATGTGTCTTCTGATTTCCTGACTGCTGATGCCAAGAGTGTTGATTGTGAAGCCAAGCAAACTGTAACTGTTAATGGCCTCAATCTCTTCATTCATCATGGTGCTGTCAATTTACCCAGTGGTGAGAATCTTTGTCCTCTTGATGTTGAGCTTCAATCCATATTGAAGACTACTGTCCTTGACCTTTTGCAGCAAGGGCTACAGGTCTGCCTCAGTTTCAGCAAGCAAGGCTGTGTCATCTGCATAATGTCAGTTGTTGTTTCTGAGGTCTTCAATTAGAAAGGACTTGTTCAAGCTCATGGCACAACTGAGACTGAATCCAAAGTCTGCTGAGGATAGCTAGTATAGTCAAGTTATTGAAGGACTAGGGAACTCTGATGGCCTAGTGGTAAGAAGTTGTTCTGCTGTCTCAAAAGTATGTGGTTCAAATCCACCAGCTGCTCCACAGGAGAAAGTTAGGCAATTCTCCTCAATTATCCCAAGCAATTAAATTGTCTCTGAGAACCAATTAGAAGTTCAGCTATGAGTTGGTTCTGGCTCTAAAGTAAACAACATCACAACATCTTCAACAATATCCAACAACAGAAGCAGCCAAGGCCTATCCTGGTCTTCTTTTCATTTCCTTTCTAACATATAGTCCTGGGAAAAGACGAAAAGTCTCATCTTAGAAGGGTTTTCCCTCTTTGGGACACTTTAAATGAAGTTAAAAGCAAATGAAAACCATGTTGCTTCTAGAATGTGGGTCCAATTACTGTCATTTCATTTGCCTGAGACTTGGAGTGAAAAATTTTGTCTTGCTAAGCTCCCAGCTCTCTGGGTAGCATAAGCTGTCTTCAGAGAGATACAAGATGCACTGCTCCGTGTGATATTAAACCCATCATTTTCAGCTTTGGAGGTAGAATATGCAATGATTCAACAGGAACCCTATAAAAGTCATCTTTGCAATTTTATTTTCTTCAATTGTCTGTCTTTTCCTCTGAGCTTTTGATGAGCTGCTGTGGAAAGGAGGAGGTAGAGGGATGACTTAAAAGATGTGTAAGGAAAAACTGCAATTTATATCTCTGTATGTCAGAGCCACAGCAGGCCTCGGAGGCCAGGTTCTCCAACCTTTGGGGATCAGTCCTGTCTGACTAAAAAGGTTGCTCACTTAAATTCCAACAGCAAGTCCTGAAGAAGTAAGAATTAGAACCTGATTCTTCTGATAACCATCCTGGCCTGGTTTCCATTACTTCATCCTGACACCTGAAAACTAATGTAATTTCATTTTTACTAACTAGTACATATATTAGGTGGATTGATTTACATAGTTGAAAGAAATCAAAGGGATGGAAGAATTTTCACTGCAAATTCTCCCTTTCACCTATATCCTTCAGTGGTTCACTCACTTTCACTGCCCACAGACATCTGATATTACCAGACTTTTCAGTGAAAGTTTATGGGTATATAATTGCATATTTGTTCCTCCAGGCACTCTCTTCTGTTTCCCTCTCATCCTAAATGATAGCACACTATACACCCTATACAGTTATGCACTTTTCTCTCAATATACTATGTAGGTGATTCTTTCTCAGTATGTAAAAAGTTATCACATTCTTTTAAATACTGAATTATCTAAGTAGACAACTACAGATATACATTCAATCTTTTCCAATCTTTTCTATTATAAATAATGTGTTAGTGGTTGAATTTGTATATACAAAATTTTGTATATATACGGTTACATGTAGAATGAATTCTCAGAAACAAAGTTAAGGGTCCTATGTAGATTCAATATTAATACTGAAAAATACTTCTGAAGATTTAAAAAAGAGCTAAAACAGTACATAGTTAGGAACCTGCAGAAGTTCAAGCAAGATTTAGAAGAAGCCGTAGCACCAGGAATATCATTGCTGAGGTCAGATGGATCATGGCTGAAAGTGGAGAATACCATAACAAGGTCTATTTGTGCTTTATTGACTATGCAAAGGCGTTTGACAGTGGATCATGACAAACTGTGGCTGACATTGAGAAGAATGGGAATCCTGGAGCACTTAATTGTGCTCATGTGAAACCTATATGTGGACCCGGAGGCTGATGTGAGAACAGAGCAGGGGGACACCATATGGTTTAAAATTAAGAAGGGAGTGTTTCAGAGTTGTATTCTCTCTCTATATCTATTCAATCTGTATTCTGAAAAACTTATTCGAGAAGCTGGTTTCTATGAAGAGGAGTGTGGCATCAGGATCAGAAGGAGACACTTCAATAACCTGCATTATACAGATGATACAATCTTGCTTGTTAAAAGTGAGGAGGACTTGAGGCACTTACTTGCTGCAGAAGGTTAAACAATTAAGCTTTCAATAATGATTGCATCGCAATGCCAACAAAACAAAGATTTTTTTACCATTGGACCAATAGGCAATATCATGATAGATGGAGAGGAGATTGAAACTATCAACAACTTACTCTTACTTACAACCACAATTAACACCCTTGGTGCCAGCAGTCAGGAAATGAGGAGGCATATTGCATTGGGAAAGTATGCAGTTAAGGTATTCTCCAAGTTATTGAGGAGCAATTGATGTCAGTTTGAGGACTAAAGTGCATCTGATTCAGACTATTGGTTTTTCTGCTCACTAGCTATACATCTAAGAGCTGGGCAGTGAATAGGAATGACAGAAGAAGAATAGATGCCTTTGAGCTGTGGTGTTGGAGAAAAGCACTGAACATCCATGGACTGCCAAAAGAACAAACAGATATGTCTTGGAGAGGGTGCAGCCAGAGTGCTCTTTGGAGGAAAGGACAATGAGGCTTCACATCACATACTTTGGGCATGTTGTTAGGAGGTGTTTTTCTTTGTAGAGGGACATGATGCTTGGAAGGGTGGAATGTCAGCGAAGGAGAGGAATACCCTCAACCAGGTGGATTGACATGGTAACTGCTGCAATGGGCTCTAATGTGTCAGGAAGTGTGAAGATGACACAGGATAGGACGAGGTTCAGATCTACTGTGCATAGGGTTGCTATAAGTCATACTCATCTTGACAGTACCCAACAACAACAACAACAACAATCACTACCATGGATTTCCAAGAAAACAAGTTTATCTGGAGAAGGTGATATCAGGCTGCTCCTTGGAGGCAAGGATTTTTAAAGCTCTGTCTTATGTGCTTTGGGCATGTGAGGGACCACATCCCTGGAGAAGGACATCATGCTTGGAAGGATGGAGGGACAACACAGATGAGGAAAACCCTGGATGAGATGAATTGACATTATAACTGGGGTAACAAGGGTAGGTGTGTTGGAGACAGTAATTCTGGCTCAGGATAGATTTCAGAGCTATTGTAAATAGGGTCGCTATGAGTTGCAGGTGCTCAATGACATATAACAATGTTTATTTGAAATTTTGATAACTATTGACAAAATTACCTCCTTAGAAGCACTATTTTACATTCCGAGCAATGAACAACAATGCCTCTTTTTTATTACTTGATAACCTAGTATAATCAAACTTGATCTTTAACATTATGAGAAGTGAAAAAATAATGTTAAAAACTAGTTTTAATTTTAATTTCTATTATTTCTCTTATATGGTTGATAATTTTATATATGTATAAGACCTTTGGGGAGCTCTGGTGGCCTAGTGGCAAGGAGCTGCAACTACAATCCCAGAGGCGCACGGTTCAAATCCACCAGATGCTCTGCCGGGGAAGGAGGGACAATCTCCTCCTGTACCAGTCAGATCTGATTTGACGGTACACCACACAAAAATAATAAAATTTTTAAAAAAAGACCTTTGCATTTTCTTTTCTACAAATTATCTTTCTGTATCCTTTTATCCTTTTTTATCCTTTTATGTGGGGGTCAAGATTGGTGGAAGATCTATCAACAATCTGTAATATGCAGATGACACAATTCTGCTTGCTGAAAGTGAGGAGGACCTGAAGCACTTGCTGCAGAGGTTCAAGGACTGCAGTCTCCAATAGGGATTGAGACTCAATGTCAAGAAGACGAAGATTCTCACCACTGGACCAATTGGCAGAATCAGGATGGATGGTGAAGAGATTGAGATTGTTCACAGCTTTAGTTTGCTTGGCTCTGTAGTCAACACTCAGCACCAATAGCCAGGAAATTAAGATGTATTTCCATGGGAAAGTCTGCTGTTAGGGACCTCTCTAAAGTATTGAAGAGCAATGGTGACTCTCTGGAGACTAATGTGTGTCTGATACAGGCCATGGTTTTTGTAATCACTTGTTATGCATCAGAGAGTTGGACAATGACCAAGGAGGATAGAAGGAGAATTGATGCCTTTGAGCTGTGGTGCTGGAGAAGAGTACTGAGGGTACCATGGACTGCTAGGAAAACAAACAGATTCATCCTGGAAATGGGGCAGCTCCTTGGAGGCAAGGATTCTGAGGTTTCATCTTACATACGTTGGACACGTTGTAAGGAGGGACCGGTCCTTGGAGAGGGACATCATGCTTGGTAGGGTGGAGGGACAGCACAGGAAGGGAAGGCCCTCAATGAGGTGGATTGATTCAGTGACTGGGGTAA